ATGTAAATACTTAAAAGTTGTGCCAAACCTCACGATAAAGATTTGAGAGTGCTCGGAGTCAATTGGATAAAAGAAGACGTCAATGGAATCAAATTTAGTCAAAAGATGATCACAAATCAATTTTCAACCGAAAAGTTATGTTCCGATATTTTAGTCTCATATTGAGATCTATTTTTGGCATATAAAGTGATCGAATTGAAAAATGATGTCTGAATCAAAGTTTTAGCCATATGAATTAGCTTTCCAACGCATTTTGAATCGCCTCAATCAGACATCAGAATACAAAGTTATGATAAAAACACTGAAAAAAGGTGCAACTGCCTATTTAAAACAAAAAATTCCGTTACATAGCCACTTTTAATATATATATATATATAAGAAGTCTACCTTTTTTGGTCGAGTGATGCTATGGGTACAGGAATTTTTCACAGAAAATTGACAGAATACACATACAACGTGGGTCCCATTGTTTTTAACAATATTTAATTCATGTGAAGGAATTCAAAATTCTGGAAAAAAATCTGTCAGTTTCTTCATGTACTTGCATCATTTTTCTTTTTGGTCACCTAAGAGGTAGAAAAACTCCGTCAAGTTTTACAAAAAAATTAAGTTCGACTTAAAACTTAAAACAAGGCAAGCTGCAAAGCTATTTAAGAAAATAAATAATTCAAAAATAAAATAGTAGAATTATATTCCAAATATATTTATAATGCAATAAAAATCAACGCTAGTATGTGAACAAGTCTGAAAAGATAAGATTTCTGTTCATATTATTTATGTGAGTAACGTGCATGAGTCAATTTGTTAGGTTTCAAAAAACGTGGCTCACATTTGTGTTCGTATTAAGGCCAACTACTCATACTTTGCAAGGGTAATGGATCGATTTGCTTGACTTTTTTAAGAAAGAAAAAATAATTATATTATCACTTTTTATGAGACGACAAAAGAATTTATATATTTTGTGGTTGAAAATATATTTTAACTAGTTCGACTCGAGTTTTGCTTCCGTCTGAACATTTGACCTTTAACAATTGACCATTTATTTTATTTCCTATAATTTAATTCCCGAACAGGTAATTAAATTTTACTTTAGATAAATTTAAAATGATTTTTATTAATGAGTGATCAAGAAATGAAAGGACATGCATCACGGTTCAGCTGGACTTTGGCATTTGTAGCAATTGTCATTTTTGCCTGTCCCCATTAATAGACCAATTGAGACTTGAGATTTTGTTTCCTACTTTTCTGTCTTATTTACCTAACCAATCTTGTATTTTTATCCATCAACTCGTAAAAGAAAAAGGATCAAAAGGTTGAACCGACATTGAATAAGTGATTTTAAAAAAATTAAAAAATATACCTTTACAAAAAAATGCATTTAAAAGTTTTAAAAAATATATATTTACATAGGTTAAACTAGGAACAGGTCACTACTTTTGTAGAAATCACAGTTTAAGAGAGGCGGGTTTTTAATTAGAGGTTTTATAAATCTGATCGGACCAATTTTGGTCCCAATTTTCCCAGTTGAACCTGTCGGGCAACCGGGAAAATGTATTGTCTTTGCATTATTTTCTTCTTTCGTCTGTCAAAAAATAAGTATGTGTTTCCTTCCCTTGGTTTATATTTAACAAAAATAACAGATATTCTTTAATACAATCAGATGGGGGTAGGCAAAAATATCAAGAACCAGTTGAATCGGACCAGTTCTATAAAATAAAAATGAGGCTTTGGATCTTGATGCGATGGAGGGGTAAGCTTTAGCATATCTGAAGGATCTCAACTATGCCAAGGGGAAGAAGCGCGATCGTGGCTGAAAAGAGGAAGAGGGCAACCACTCTTGCAGTGGGTAGGGGGGTTGAGTTGTTGTATGTCGTTTCCCCGAGGATAGAGTTAGGGAGACTCAAAAAAATAATAATAATAATAATAAAATTTACTGGACTGATATATAGGAAAAAAAATAATTCGGACCGATAAAATCTCCTGCATCCTTCGGACGCCCCTAAGCTGGGTCGGACACCCGAGGCCCAATTGTGCATTATTTTTAAGTGTCCTTTTATTTGGCTCATTTTGGTTTTAATAAGGTGTATGTTTTTCTACGTGTTAAGACTATATTTGACTTTGTTTAATTGCTTTTATTTTCGGTTGTTCTTAAATAAAATTGAGAGTTTCTTGTTATTCAATTCATTCTTGTGTTTTTGAGATATTACTTGTTTAATTTCTCTTTTTCGCTTACATTATATCTTTGAAATCGATATCTGAATTGTTCGATCGTATTCGTTCTCATATCTTATTTTTATCTTGACAGTAGGTACAATAGCATCGATTTTCTTCTCTTTATTTTTTGATACCATTTCACTCTACACACCAGGTTAAAGAAGGTAAAGGACAATCCTAGATCTTGTGAACTTAGGCTATGTTTGTTTGTGCAAAATTTTTCAAATACATTTTTCAAAATCTTTCTACGGTTACCAGTATCCAAGTGATCGAACGGTTTACATATTAGTAAGATTTCTTTCTCCAAAACCATATCCATCTCCTTGAACTTGTAAATAACGTACACTGACTTACTGCCATATACCTAGAGGAAGGGAAACCAAATTAAAAAAGAAAAAAGCAAAACTTAATGCTATTCTTTTGAAGAAACTACAATATATTCACCATCTCAACAAATTCAAAACACATTTGAGGTTCTCTCTACAAGAACATTGGAGTCGGAGTCGGAGTCGGAGTCGGAGTCGGAGTCGAAGTTGGAGTTGGAGTTGGAGTCGGGAACTGAGGTTTCTTGAGAGTTATCTAATTTAGGGATTTCCCCTTCTGATTTGGGTCTTTGTCATGAGTGTTAAGGTTTTGAACGTAATTAATACGATAATAGTAGTTTTAATTAGTTTTAAGGTTTGCTCAAAGACTTAATCTTTATAGGGTGCTGTACCAAATTTTCCCAACCCAAAATGTGTTTGGTGTAGCTGGATTAACAACTTCGAATTCAAATTGGGCTACTAAAAATCCCAGTTATGTATTTGGGCCGTTCATATTTCCTTGTCCATTTCTTTTTTTTTTTTTTTTTCCTTTTATATCTGAATTTATTTGTTTATTTAAGGTTGCGTGAGAAATTGAATGTTGATGCAACTCGACTTAAAAAGGAGGCGGATGTCAAGGCCCCGACAAGGAATTTATACTATTGTTTGATCTCCATTATTTTCAAAATATATTTTTTGCTCTCTTATTTTGAACCACATATTTTTCAGCAAAACAATATAACATTCAAACCAAAAACATATACTTATTTTTTAACTACACATTCTCCATCAAATTACTATTCAAAAATGCATTCTTGTCAAAAAATGAGGCTCAATCAAACTCTATGATAATTGCTTTATCTATTAGTTGCTAATAATTTATTATTTTTTTCTTAAAAAGGTCAAAACCAGAAGAGAGTCCCACCTTTACAAGGGATTCAATATAAAAAGAGATGGCAAGTTGGAAGGATGGTAGGAGATGGTCGTTCGGACAAGAGGTCTCTCTTGTATACGTACGGTAGTTTTTAAAGTGATATCTCAGCAAGTTTGATTTTGCGTAGACAGAGTGGTTTGATTGTTGTTAAATTCAGTAACCTAATTGCAATTGAGGTGAAACTTTAGTGACGTTTATACAATTAACCTATGTTATGCATAGTTAAGCATGTTACCATGTTTGGTTGTGCTTTAAATTAATTTACACTTACTTTTAAGTAATTTATTATATTAATCTCGGGATTAAAATCTAGATTTTAATTTTAATTAAAATCAATAATTAATTTAAATACATATTTCACGGGACTTACAATTTTTCAACCACTCATTTTATAATTTTTTATCAAAATCTATTGAAAATTTTGATTTTGATCCTCACCAAATATGAGCTAAATATATAGTTTTTAAAGTAAACAAATGTTTTCTTTGCTAAAAGAAAGTTCGGCTTATTATTATCATCTGCATCATCGCTTGTCACTATAGAATCATCATCACCATCATCATTGTCGTCTTGTCACTATATAATTTCATTGAAAATTAAAAATAGAGTAATACTATTTATTATCATAATGAGGGAATGTCGATGATGTAACAACCTATTATATTTCACATTTCTCCCTCTGGCCAATCATATTATTTCACATAAGTTTGATTTGGAAACTTTAGTGACGTTTATACAATTAACCTATGTTATGCATAGTTAAGACATGTTACCATGTTTGGTTGTGCCTTAAATTAATTTACACTTACTTTTAAGTAATTTATTATATTAATCTCGTGATCAAAATCTAGATTTTAATTTTAATTAAAATCAATAATTAATTTAAATACATATTTCACGGGACTTACAATTTTTTAACCACTCATTTTATAAATTTTTTTTTCAAAATCAACTGAAAAATCTGATTTTGATCATCACCAAATATGAACTAAATATATAGTTTTTAAAGTTAAAAATGTTTTCTTCGCAAAAAGAAAGTTCGGCTTATTATTATCATCTGCATCATCGCTTGTCACTATAGAATCATCATCACCATCATCATTGTCGTCTCGTCACTATATAATTTCATTGAAAATTAAAAATAGAGTAATGTAATTTATTATCATGATAATGGAATATCGGTGATATAGCAACCTATTATATTTCACATTTCTCTCTCTTCTCTCCCTCTGGCCAATCATATTATTTCACATAAATTGCAATATCACATATGTTCTTCTTCATAATGATAAATAGTACTATCTTAAAAATAATGATAATTACTATCCATTCCCTAAAAGATGAAAAGATCAAGAAAAATGCAACTTATTTAAGCCTAAGAATCATGCAAGGAACCAAACATGCCCTTATGCCTTATCCATATCACACCCCAACCCCATCCCATACTGTATATCCATGAATATCTAAACCCTAACACTTCATTTCAAGAGACGAAGGAGAGAATTGAGAAACCTTATCTTCATTCAACATGGCTGCCTCTGCTTCTTCACTTCGCTTCCTTTCCTTAACCCCTCAATCACTCTCCCACTCCCACCATTCATCTCCTTCTTTCCCTCTTTTCACTTCCAGTTCCTTTAAACCTCTCACGAAGTCTGTAATATCATTGTCTTACAACAATTACAATATTGTTAACACTTTTTTACGACTACCCAATTCTAAGTTTGTACGGAACGTTGCGTTTTCATCTGATTTGGACCAAGTGGAAGAAGATGAGGATGCTGATTTTTCTGGGTCAGGGGAGCCCAGTTACTCGGCTGACGTCAAACTGTTTGTGGGTAATTTACCTTTCAATGTTGACAGTGCTAATCTAGCTGAATTATTTGAACGAGCTGGAAATGTTGAGATGGTTGAGGTAATTTGATTACCTATTTAATAATATCATTCTCGATTTGGACTGAAATTGCTTCAAGTTCTGTGCTGGTACTAATCTGAAAAGGTTATGGTTTTATTTGTTTTGAATTGAGGTTTATATGATGAGTTCCGTTTCTTTTTGAATTTTGGATTCTACTTTTCTTTTTCTTGGTGCAATTTTTGAGTTGGGATTTTGGTTAATTGGATAACAATTTCGGATGGTTCTGCTATTAGGATGTGGCAAACGATTGTTTTTCTACTTTGCAACTGTATGCTCTTATTTTATTTTTTTCAAAAATTGTATTTTTATGATGGGTGCAGTCTTGGTACATTCCTTAACAAGATGAATATAATTTGGTGAATTGATTTTGGGTGTTTTTCAGTACTAGTTGTTTCCTTGTGTATAGTATTTAGTATGTACAATATGCAGATATGTGATTGTATACACACATCTGTGTATTTTAAACCTTTGCTATGAAATTTATGGTTACAGTATAAATACTTCATATTTCAATTCTATTTTTCTTTTCTATTTCAATTTTTAATTTTGTGGGGGTAGAACTGTAGACGTGTGAAGCTGAAAATGGCTCAGTCTGGGAAGCTTGTAATTAGCAAATGATGGATAATTGCAGGCTAACTGAAGCTATTGGCTTTGCAGGTTATCTATGACAAGGTCACAGGCAGAAGCAGGGGGTTTGGTTTTGTGACAATGTCGACAGTCGAGGATGCTGCTGCTGCAGCTCGACAATTCAATGGATATGTAATTTTCCATCTTATAATACATGTTTGTTATGCAGTATTATATATGACTTTAAAGTATAATGAGAAAGATTTTAGCTTTTGTTTTGTTTCCCGAATATTGTTCAAGAGTTTCTTTATGGGCATTGATTTTACTCTGCAAGAGTTTATGAATGGCAGGAACTTGAGGGGAGAGCATTGAGGGTCAATTCCGGGCCACCACCTCCTAAGAAGGAAAGGTCTTCATTCAGAGAGCCTATGGCAAGGACAAGTTTTGATAATACTAACAGAGTTTATGTGGGAAACCTTGCATGGGGAGTCGACAATCTTGCACTTGAAACGTTGTTTAGTGAGCAAGGAAAGGTTTTGGAAGCCAAGGTTGTTTATGACAGAGATAGTGGTAGATCCAGGGGTTTTGGATTCGTAACTTACAGTTCTGCTAATGAAGTAAATAATGCCATTGAATCGTTAGATGGTGCTGTAAGTAAATTCTTCTGACAATAATATGATGTGTCATTATTTGTGTATATCCGTTTGTTAATCTGAAATAGGCACTTATGCGGGGCATTTTGGCTTTTGAATGCGTTGAACAAGGATTAGGTGTACATTTGTATGATTCATCGGGAATTTTATTCTCAAACATTTCTGTGACTATGATTATTTTATACTGCTATAAAAATTTTCCTATATTATGGCGATATGCATGGATGAATTAAAAAGTTGAATTTTGAAATTTTATCCATGGAAAGATGCATCTCTGTATCAGTTATTGAAATTTCTTTGAAAGTCGCATCCTTCCATCTTTGTTTCAGACCCTTTTTGTTTTATTGAATTTTTGACTTGCATATGCCTTTCTGTCCGACCCCCTGTTTTGTTTGCTGCAACTTATTTAGAGAGTATAAATTATGCTTTCAATAGTTGATTCTCACTTACATTTCTTTGTGCAGGACCTTGACGGCAGGCCAATTCGAGTCAGCCCTGCTGAAGCTCGGTCAAGGCGCGAGTTTTAATCGCTGGATCTTTCACAACCTTTTAGCAGAGAAGCTCAGTGTACGTCTAAATGCTTTGGAAAATTCAATCCTATATGCATCTTCGTATTCTTAGTTTAGTTTGAGGCTTTGTGCTGCTAAGTTCATTTGTCCTGTCGAGCATACTTATATCCTCTGAGCAGCTTCAATATGAATGATTACACGTGTATCTCATTTCTGCATCAGGTATGAAAATGGGAGTTACAGTTACACGAAGTTTATAAAATAGATTTGAACTTGCTAGTCGCATTTGCCCTGCAATTGTGAATTCAGTCACCGCATCCAGACTAACTGGAAGTTGTATGTGCATCAAGATATTATGTTGTAATAGTGTACTATCACATTCTGGTGGAAAGGGATAGAACAATTTTTAGTATCATTTGGCTTTTATGTTGTGTGAAAAATTTTGTGATTATGAAATGAATTTGCAGGGAATTCTTGCACTTGCATGTAATTTCTCAGAACCTAATCTATACGTTTATGCTACACTTTCTTCAACTGATTTCAAATTCATTTCGTGCTGTTGGTTTTCCTTTTTTACAATCATTTGGGTAGAGTTCACCCTAAAAACTGACTTGTAAAGGGTATTCAATATCGGTTGTGTTACATGTATATAATGATTTACTGATTTGTTTACCAACGAGTGATGTGACGAGATATGATTGAGTTGAAATTTTATTACCAATCAACTAAAAAAATAAAATTTCTACACTTTTTTTGCCACCTCACTAATCTGTAAATGATGATGTACGATAAGTATTTTCTATTCAGTATACTTATAAACTATAAGATGTACGTTTTCACGCAAGTAGAGATGCATGGGAACGCTTGTGTTTCTCAATGTATGATTTCGTTCTAGGTTATTTGATCACGACTGTTTAATAGGACTTTCTCTGAAGAACATTCAACTTTGACGAGAAAATGATGAAATGGTTCAAACATAGAGAAACAAAAGAATCAATTTACGTAACATAAAATTCAAGCAAATGTTAACAGTAAGGGGGATCCTCGTCTATTTTTGACACTTTAGTTCATTCAAGAATTCTTAATGTAAATATTCTTAAGCGAATCGTGCTATGAACGACACACATAGAAATTACAGCAAGCTTGAATTGTGGCAAATGTCAACGGGTGGCACTGTTGAAAGAATTAACGTTTACTCCGACATTATTAATTAGCGACTATTAAGTGTTCAAAGGCTTGAGAAAATATGGTCAAAGATGAATATGCATAGAATATTAGAGCAGAGTAATGCTATTTAGAGGCTAGAAAGGAGTTGGGTTGTAGTTGGATACATGTGAAGGGGAAAAAATCATCTATTTACCACAGGGGATAGAAATCGTGAGGAGACAGATCAAATGTTCTCAGTTCTTGAGTTGTTGTTCGAGGACATAGATAGATAGATAGATATAGTTCAGGATTGGAGGGTTTGTTGGAAGTTAGAACAGAAATAATGAGTTGACGGATCAAATTTTCTTAATTATTGAGTTATTGTCCGAGGACACAAGAGTCAGAGAGATATAGTTCAAGATTGAATCCTTCTCTTATCTTGGCTAGAGAGTCTGGTAACAATTCTAAAGCCATCAAGCTCTCCCACTAAAGTTCTGATCTTGAAGACAGTGTTCGACCATTATGGAGTTGGATTCCAGTATAGATTTGCAAGCGCACAACTTTCAGCAGTATTAACAACGGGAATGAAGTATGAATGAGCAACAAAGATTAGGCTGAAGACAATTGTCATGGTTTCCATTGCAAAATATGGGACTTGTATCCCACATCGAAAGTATTGGTTTTTGGTGTGGTTTATATAGATTTGAGCTCTCTAATTTCAACAATTAACTTTTGAGATATGTTTTTCCTAAGATCTATATCAATGGTATCAGAGCAGTCATCATGTCTCCCGATTGCGCAATTAACGGTGTGGATGGTAGCGTAAGCATAGCAGTGTTCGTTCGATACTAGTTATGAACTAGCGCAAAGCCAGTCTGAAGTGAACACAAGAATCATGGAGCATGGAGGACTGTCGTGGTTCTCATTGCAAGGTATCCCACATCAAAAGTATATGCTTTCAGTGTGGGTGAGAACCAATATGTCGTGCTTGCAGAGGTGATCGTTATAGTTCAAAATGGTGTTGAACTTGTCATCTGCGATCAACCACTATTATATATTAACTAAATACTCTCACGATTTTGATCTTAGGAAGTATATCAGCTTCATTTTCAGCATCAAGAGGTATTTGAAGTTGATATCTATTATCTACTTGGAAAATCTGCAAATCGTCTGCGGATTGATCTCTACGGATACTAAAAATCTTGCTCTTGTCTTGCATTCTATGCAAATCACAGCCTACAATATTGTGTTGCCCCCTATCTACGTACCCATGTCAACTATGACTAATTATGGGTAAAGTGGATCCTGTTTTGACTTGTTGTCTTGTTCTTTCTTTCTCATCCCGTGATCCTCACCCATTTCTTTGGAAAAATGATTGATATTTTCCAGTTATTCAATAATACACATGTTTAACACCAATATAAGCGACGATAATTTGTGCCATTAAATTATAAATGTAATTAAAACATAAGGATTTATAACTCATTTATTATGATGTATGACGTGTCGATACTTAGACTAGTGCTCAACATTATTTTCCATTCATATCACGGCTTCAGGACTCGTTTTCCGTCGAAAAAAGTCTCTTATAGCGAGTCGATAAAAAAAACTAAAAAATGACTTGTTCGATATTTTAACATAAAAAGTTTACTAGAACTTGGAATATTTGAGTTTTATGATCTCTTTGAAAAAAAAAATGTAGTCTCATCACACCTTTCGAGGGTCGGTTACTAGAATCACGCATTACTTTACAAACCCAGGTAACATGCTTTGTCCCATTTTTTATCCCTCTCTTTTTTACCAAAAAATTGAATGAATGAATGATGGTTTCTCATGAATGAATGCCTTCTTTTTGACCCTAAACTTTGAACAACATAGAATGCAATTTCGAAAAGTCAAATTATTAAGAGACTATATTATTAAATTATTAAAATACTCAAATAGTAGTTTTGAAAATGTTTACATTTGGTACAGAAAATATGGCATAGTGAACATGTAGTCAAAATATTGATCACGATCTACTTTTTACTGTCAAATCTAAATTAATCAACGAATATCTATCATAACAACATAAAAATTCAAACCACCTTAATGTGTTCAAAAATGGATCAATTGCAATGTTACTTGTACAAAATATATTTAGCCCCTTGTGTGGAAGTGATTATTTTAAAATTGATTTTTTTTTAATGTAGTTAAAAAGTAGGAAAAAATTATGGAAAATGAGAGAAAAAGATTTTTTTTTTTTTTTAAATGTGTGATTAAAAATGAGTACAGAAAAATGATTTTTATTTAAATTTATAATTAAAACGGTAATTCAACGACCCAGTAATTAAAAGATGCAGTATTATTCAAATCAACGATCTTTTCTAGTCTAATAATTATGATTGAATTCCCATAAAAATCTTGCGACAAGGCCCACCAAGTGAGCCAAATGACTCGAAAAACACACAAATCAATCTTCGTAATTGCAATTTTGTTGAAACGTGACAAATTATTTATTTCCTCGTTCGATTATTGGGCCCAAGAAATGGTAGTATGATGTCGGCTTTAGTGTGTTTGAATTTTGCCCACATGCCTCAATTAATGAATCCTCAAAGACCGGAATCTTTTGCATGAAAAGAAAAACTCGTCACAAAGTTAATGTAATCAATGCTAAGAAAACTACAAAACCAAAGGTTTTACTTACTGTCTTCTCTTGCATCAATAATGAGATTACGCAATAGGTTCATGTTTGGCAAAGCTCAAAATTTTATTAATAAACAACTTTTTTTTTAGTTAATCAAAGGAATCTTGCTTCTAATTTAAATAAACTTGTGCTATATTGGAATACGCAGAATTCGTGGTTGGACATAGGGGTGTAAGCAGTCCGATTTTTGCGGTTTTTGACAAATTTTCAAATCAAACCGTTTTGACCGGTTTGAGAAAAACTCAAACCTAAACCAAACCATTTTGACCG